TACGCACAGGCTCACGATTGGTGTGCTTCCAGGCTTGGAGGGCTTGCCCTGTGTTGATTGGTCAACTAGTTGTTATGGCCCATAGGCCCTCCCAAGGTGGTTGCTATGCTCTCTACGTCCTTGCTGTGCGCTTGTCCGTAGAGCACACCCAGGGTTGTAAAGCATAGCGCCACCAGCTAACTTCTGATTGGCTCCTTGTCACGAGACAGGCATCTGACCTCTAAGTGACCAAGGCAGGTTTATGGCAAGCACGTGTTCGGCTGTTATGGCTGCCAAAAGGGAAGCTGGTTCCTTCAGTATGACGATTTTGGTCGCACTGTTCAATGTGTTGAATGGAATGCTGTTCTCAGAGGTAGCATTTTGAATTTACAGCAACAAAATAAAAAAAAAAGGAACAAAAGAGAAAATTATAGAATGTTTCTTTCAATATTTCTCAGTTCCTTTATGAAATTCCAACTGTAAGGACCATAATTCTATGATTCTAACAGTGCCAACATCAGTGAAGGTGTTAGAACTGTAGAACAGTGGTTGCCAAACTTTGGTGTGTCTGAGAATCATCTAGAGCATGCAAATATCCAGCCTCCTTGATGTAAGCCAGAGGTCAGACCTTTTGTTTTACCCAAGTTCCCCAGGCGGAGACCGAGACCACCTAATATCTGAAAATCACTGACATAAAGAATTCATATGTGGGACCAGGGTTTATAGTTTTCTGGCTGTCACCCCATTCCCAAGGGTGATTATACCCTGGCAAATGACTTTCTCTCTTTCTCGACTGTTTCCTCACCTGTAAGTTCTTGCTTACTTCCTCTGCTTGTGAAATTCAGGGAGATGCTAGAAACATCTAGCACAATTCTTGCTGTGAAGCGAGCACTCATGAGTGAATACTCTGAGATGTGGCAAGTGACATGGGTCTGTGTTCACTGTGGGGAATGCAGACCTGGAACCTGGTCCTTTACTGATAGGGAGGTGAGAATATACTCCTGGCCACGGGCGAATAAAAGCAGTAAGTGCTGAGGGATATAGACTCTGTTCCAGAGGATGGAAAGAGGGAAAGGTAGCGTCTGGAGCTATGAAGGTCTCCTGAGACCATCTTCTTGCCTTGGTACCTCATCAACCAGCTGCCATTCTGACACTTCAGAGATCATTATGCGCATAATCACACTCCCAGTCCCCTATAGTTGTGGGTAAGCTGAGTATTGACATGGATTGCAAAGCCAGGCTTGGCTTCAGGTCCCTTAGTAGCATGATACAATAGTGCTCTTTGGAGAGAAGTTTAGTCTCAGTCCCAACCTTTGGTCATACATGTCATGCACTCCTTTTAACAAATACATTTACTACAACTCTAATAACAATTGAACATAAAAGGTGGTAGGAAGTCCATAAAAGAATTCTTTTTATTACATATGAAAATATATTGAAGTCTCAGGTTTTGTAGTAGTAGAGTCTGAGAAACTGAAAAACAAACAAACAATCAAAACAGATGAGTTCACTGGGCTCAGCCTTCCGGTGTGGAGGGTACTTAGTATGCAGGGTACGGAGGAACTAATGGAAGACACCATTTTTCTCTTCTGTCAGCTTGGCTTAGTTTCTGAATTGGTGGAATGATTCAGAAACAGTGTTACAAAGACAAGATAGAACCTGGCCTGTAGACCTCAGAGACTAACTGTGAAGCAGCTGGCCTGAGCCCGTACCTGTCTGCATTCTTTGCTGAGGTGGTAGCTTCCCTGAGGGCATGTTGGGTCAAACAACCCCCCCACCCCATCCCCCCCTGCTGTCTTCAGTGCTCACCCCCATTATCTACTATCTACAAGGGAAAACTCCTGAGGAGTCAGCATTTCTGAGCTACTATGCTATGGAAAGTGATTCTCCAGCCCTGAGAGGTGCTTTGCTGTTAGTCCTTGTGGTCTTCAACTAACAAGGAACAGAACACACAGAGGTACCACACCTGCTCTACCACATGCCCCTCCTAAATTGGTCTAAAAACAGTGTTAATCCCACAGTTTGTTTCAAGTGATTCTCAAAGGTAGATGGTAATAGTGAAAAGACATGATTGTACAGGGTTCCTAATTTTTTTGACACACCAATTATTATTTTTTAATTGATGAACATTGGACCAGGTATTTTTGTTATTGTGCTGAAGTAACTAAAGAGTATATCTGAAACAAACTTGTTTTCATATGGAGTTAAGTCTAGATTCATAATTGTAAGATGAAACTCTAAAACCCCAAAAACTTGTTCCCCAGGGATCTGAACAAAATCGATGACTTGATGCAAGATATCACAGAGCAGCAGGACATCGCCCAAGAAATCTCAGAAGCGTTTTCTCAAAGGGTTCAGTTCGCCGATGGCTTTGATGAGGTAGGTGCAATACTAAAGAATGTGGTGCTGTGACTGCTATCGAAGTCAGCTTCCCATCACAGTTAGCAGACAGTTTGTTTACTGCTTAACAAATAAATGATATTTGTTGGAAGTGTAGTTTTCCAGGAGGGAAATGAGGTGTTAGTAGCTGATTTTAAGGAAAGATGGCTGTAGTTTGGCAAGCAGCTTCTTAATTAGGTTTTTAGCTATTAAGGAAAAGAAAACACTAGCAGTTATGTAAAGTTAGTGATTTTTAATGGTTGGAGTATAAATAATCCCATTCTGAGGGAATCATGTGCTCTCACAGCTGGCTGAATGGAGCAGACCGTGTCACCCTGTAAGTAGCAGATGGATTGTGCTCTGTGGCTGTTAAATTAGGAGTTAGGCTGCCTCTGCTTATTACTCAGTCTATAAAACAAGTAGTTGTGGGATGGCATTATTCCCATTCCATTCGTATTAATCAGTCCCATAGTCCAGGAAGACTAAAGTCACATTGGTGGTGCCCACAATGACAATTTCAGTGGTTCCATTCAAGTTACACATGTCCAGGATGAGGACATTCCTAGGCACATTCCCAAGGGGACAGGATAGCACAGCTTCCTGCTTCTGTGTGATTTGACAATGAGTAACAAGTGAAGATGTGGTACCAAGGAGTCTTAGGAAATGACAGTTTGCTGCTAGCAGTGTTCAAAAATGATATGGGTCTGGTGCTGGAGAGATGGCTCAGAGGTTAAGAGCATTTGTTGCCTTTGCAGAAGACCTAGGTTCTGTTCCCAGCATTCACAGTGTGGATCAAAATCATCTATACTGCCAGTTCTGTGGGATCTGATGCCTTCTTCTGACCTCCGTGGGCACCAGACGCACATGCGGTACACATGCAGACATGCAGGCAAAACACTCATACACGTAATGGGTTGACCTGTATGTCAGATCAGTCATGGCCTATTCTTGTATAGCTGTCAGGTCAAGGATGGTTTCCACTCTTCTTGAACTGTAGAAAATAAGAAGGAGGAGCCTGCAACAGGAAGGTATCTGGCCTGCAAAGCCCTTAATACTACTGTCTGGCCCTATGAAGAAGATCATGAGGATTGTGAGTCACTTGGGCCACATAGTGACTTCAAAGCCAGCTTGAGATACATGGAGAGGCCTTGTCTCAAAACAAACAATAGCAACAAACCAATCAAATTCAAGATACGTGTGCACGTGCATAAATTCACACACAGGCTCCCTGAATGTAGGGAGTACTGATTTGCCCTTGCACTGCCCAGTAACGAGATCTCAATAAATTTATTGAATGATGGCTGAATAAATGAAGAATCTAATTGGAAGGATGCACAGTTAGGCTAGATCTTTTTGGATTGTTTCCTGTTGGAAGATTATACTTCTCAGCTTCCCTTGTGGATGGGGGGAGGAAATGTAATGTACGGGAGGTAGTCATTTCTGTCCCTGTAGAGGGCCACATCTCATTCTATAGGCATTTTGCCCATATACACAGTGGGTGATAAGATGCCCCTTTGCTGTGAATAAACGTAGTCCCACCTAAGGTCAGACCAAGCATCTCCACCTTCTGTAATCTAACAATTGCTCATTATGACAGCCTCTGAAATATAAGGAAAAGTTTTGTTTTGACTACCATTCACCTCTGCAGAGGCTGATGTATGCTGGAGGGATTCCCAAGTTAGGTAGTTATCTCGAATTAGGAAAAAGATGACACACACACTTATGGCCTCAAGCTGATGGGAGCCTTCTATAGGTGTTGGGTAGAAAATAGTTTTATTAAGCCAGACGTTCTGAGGCCACTGTAAAGGAAAAACACATTATACTAATTTTGAATTTTACTAACACAAACACATGGGCTGAGGACATAATAAAGTGGTAGAGCACTTGACTAGCACCAGCAAGGTACTGCTGTGTTCCATCCCAGCACTGTGAACAAAATCATCCAAACACACAATTTATGTTGACTTTAATGATTTGATAGAGGAACTATGATTTTTTTTTTTACTTTCTCTGCAATAGGTTTTTCTATGCTTGTTTTATTTTCAATAATATTAACTCAAGTAGAAATATTTATTTCCTCTTATTAAAATTGAAGAGATTCTCAACAAGAGAGAGAGAGAGAGAGAGAGAGAGAGAGAGAGAGAGAGAGATACATATCAGAAAAATGACAGTTAAGGTGTAAATCTCCAGAACCTGAGGAGATTATATATTCACCACAAATTACTTGAATGGCTATTTACTGAAGTATTATAAGATTAACTACAACAAATTTGTACAACCCAAAATATTAATTTCTAATCATTGCTCAGTGTTGCAAAAAAAAGCTTAGTTTTTAAATAAATATTCCATTTCACTGGGTTCTCATATATCAATTGGGTAGCAGATGTTCTCTTTGTTCTGTTTAGGGAAATCCACCTTCTGATACATTAACTCCTTAATTCTTTCTCTCTCCTGTGTTCAGGATGAGCTTCTGGCAGAACTTGAGGAACTGGAGCAGGAGGAATTAAATAAGAAGATGACAAACATGAAGCTTCCAAATGTGCCATCGTCTTCTCTCCCTGCACAGCCCAGTAGGAAGCCCAGCATGCCCTCCACTGTACATCGATCTCGAGCAGGTCTGTTCCCCACCCCATGGCCTGTGTCCACATAGGTTCTGAAAACAGTAGCCAGGCCTGTTGCTTTCGGTATCTACCTACGTATACATGATTTGGATAAATAAACACATCTTATATGTAATCCCTACCCGTTTGCCATGCTGGAAGTATAAATGACACTGATGACTGGTTTTTCTCACTTTTATATTACAGCGTCATCTAGGAGGACAGAGGATGATGATGACTTCAAGCAGCTGGCAGCTTGGGCTACTTAAGCTAAAATGGAAACTTTCGGCATCTAAATTTGTGAACTACACATAAGATGTAAATGCCTTTTGCAAAGCTTAGAAGTTAGCAGAGACCTCTTTCATGAGTTATTGTCTTTTATGTAACAGTTAAGTCATGTGTAGACTCAGTCAGGAATGGAAAGGGGCTGGTAGAATCATAGAAGACCCTTCCAGACTGATAGAGTTGGGACTATCTGCCTTATTCTCTATTGTATTTCTAGTTCTGGTACATAGTTGATTCTTTGTATATATGTATTGAAAGAAAACTGATTCTACTGATACTTAATACATATTTCAACTTATAAGTCATCCCTGAGGGTTACCTAGGGTGACTTGGGGAAATGTCTATGCAAATCCATGGCTGCTATGTGCATCCAGGTCACCCATGGTAAATATAAATACACTTCTAGAACAGCTTTGAAGAGAAGTCCTCAGTGAGTCTATATATAGATAGTTTCAATTGAGTTTCATGGTTGAAAATCTTCAGGGAGCTGTAATTGACATTTATTATGCCAGTTGAGCTTTGAGTGGGGCTATGCATGAATCTCCCCAAATGTCTGGAAGCAGAAGCAGTTTAGCCTGCAGAGCAGGACTCTCTTGGGTGTGATTCAGCCACTTAGGAAGCTGAGTGAACACTGGCAGGTCATTACAATGCTGTTTTGTCTTCACAGGAATGTTCATCCTTTTCTGTTTTATGCTCTCTCTCATTCTAACGAAAGAAAACAAAAAAACAAATGCTTCATAGCATGCACTTTGTAAATATATTAAGATACCAACAATTAAAAATATATCTTGAGTAAAATTTTGCTCACAATTATCTTTAAATGAAAAGAAATTAGGTATCTTTTATGCCATGTCATAGACTGTAAAATGACAGATATCACGATGCAAGATGTTCTGGTGTTCCCTACACTCTTGAGCAAGCTGTGCAACAGGAAGAGTGCCAGGCTTGAAGTAGGAGGCATGGGTTTTGGTGCCAGCTCTCCCCTGCCATAGTGGTCTCTGAGCCCTTGTTTGGGCTTTGGGAATCTAAGTGCTGAGCTGGTTGATCCCCAGTGGTCCCATTCTGCCACAGGTGCTTGGCACTTGCTCTTTGTCCTGGCATTTTTCCTGCCCTATATAACACACATATCAAGTTCTCCTCATTCTTTAAATTCTGGCTAAATAGTCCGTCTTGGGAAACTTTTATTCATTTCCCAGACTAAATTAGATCTTCCCACTGGATGCTTGCTTTTATAGCGTCTTACTTTCTATCATGATGTTTTTCATGCTTTCTATCAACACTTAACCCTGCTGGTCTGTGGTCATGTGAGGGATGAGACTATGTTTTTAATAGTCTATGCCCAGGGCTCTTCAAAATCTCACATGTACCATAGGTAAGTCTGTCTGTATTTATTCAATGCACAGCAGCTGACAGACTGGCAGGATTTGCCTTGTGCTCTTAAACAGTGATAAATTGGACCAAGCCTGGGAAGCAACAGTATATAACTAAGGCAATAGTGTTAGACACTGAAGTAAAGACAACACTGGACAGTGATGCCCAGGAGAAGGCAGGCTGATGCTGTAAGCACATCTTGTATCCTGGCTCACACACGACCCACATGCCTGGTGAGTGCTGCTACCTGAGGGGGGGATGGGGGGCACAAAGTCCCCACCAGACCTGTGAAATGAGCTTGTAAAGCCAGTGAATTTTAATTATACTTAATTTTAGTTAATGTAATTTAAAAAAACACGTTTTTCGATGCATTTATAGACACATTGAAGTATTTCTGCACCTTAGCTCTGCCTTTTTAACTGTTAAATCTGTAAAGTCTACATATGGGCCAGTATTCTCTGCTGCAGTCTGTCTTTCCACCTCCCTCCCTTGTTCCCTCTCTTAGAGGTTTTGGGTCAGAGCCTCACTATGTAGCACATGAGTTCACTTTATACCTCAGGCTGAACTTGAGTTTCTCTCCTCTGGCTTAATCTCTAAAGCCATGGAATCATAGGCTCTCATCACTGTGACCAGCACTGGGCAAAACATTTATGGCAGAAATTTACAGCTGATCTGAGATGCACTCCGGTGTAAAATACACATTGGAGTTCAAAGACAGTGTGTAAAACTGTAAAATAGTTCATTATTAATTGCATATTGATTGTATGCAGAAATATTATTTTAAATGCATTGCATTAAATAAAATACATTGTTGAAAATTTAGCTTACCCATTTCTTTTAATTTTTTTAAACATGTAGTTTGTGAGACATTTAGAACTATAACTATGGTCTTACTACATTTCTGGGTGAGACCAGCTCCACTCTGCCATTGAATGTACAGCTAATGCATGAGTTGAGGCACTAAACTACCAAAAGAAAGATAGAAACTATGCTGTAAAGAAACAAGAAGACTTTAAAATGAATCTTAATGCCACCCCTGTTGACAATATGGAGTGAAATAAATGAAGTGAAATTAGTGATAAAGGCAGGCTCCCCGAATTCAAAGGGCAGAGGTCGGGTTAGGCTTCTGTGGTAGAACATTTGTAGCATAACAAAACTCTCTAGAGTTACACATTCTGGGACATTTCCTAAAAAATTATGCCACCCCCTTTATCAGGAATTCCAGTGGTGTTTGGTGAGAAATACACTCAAGATAATTTAAAAAAGAAGCCCCAGATAGTGATAAGAATCAAAGGAGATTCTTCAAATGCAAATGGAAGGAGCTCCTAGAAACAGACAGGCTACGGAACCCAGGCAGTCACAGCTGCTCTAGAGAGACTTGTCATGTTAGCCAACCGCAGGGAGCAGCACACTGTCGTCATTTGGGCAGGTGTTCTCCCCAGGAGTCACAGTCTAGTGTTAGGACATCGGACTTGCCAAACTTGGCTCCTGTGAGTACCCCTGGGTCAGCCATCTGGACCCCCCAAATGAGAAAGCAAGAGGGTGTGTGTGTGTGTGTGATAAAGTACTGTAATCAGGTGACCTTACCTGTCAAAGACAGAACTCTACTGCCCACCTAAAACTTCACCATGGTTGTCCATAGTGGAGAACAGTTTAGTCCTAATTGTAGTATTTTCTTCCTTGGAAAATGGAGTCAGACAACTGGCTTATTTAGTGGAAATTGAAGTAGCAAACAGTTTAAACTTCACAGTGGCATCTGTCTTAGTAAACAAATTAGATAGTATGGTAAAGCTAGCAAGCTTAGCAAAAGTAAAGCAAACAAACAAACAACTAAGATGCTAAGACTAATAAGGAACCATTACATTACAGCCCCGGGAAATAAACCGATGATGTGTTAGTCAATTGCTGTCTTCTCTCTCCACTTCCCTTCTCCCATCTCCTTAATTTAGGACAGACATTAAGGGTTCTGTTGGGGAAAGTGTACCTTAAAATAGCTGGAATCCTCCCCCAACTTCAGACATGCTTTATACCATTTGTTTCTTGGCTTACTAGAAGTTTTACCCCACTATATATAGAACACTTGAATGATTTTTCAGAAGAAAACAAGCCAACAAGCATGAAGAGTGTGAAGCCAGGACAACGCAATGGAGTGTTACTCATAAGGCATATGCGTTCACAGGACACATGCTCAAACTCTGCGTACACAGGAATCCTCTGATTATGGATGTTGCTTCTGATGCTGACACTACTGAGGGCTAGAGATACATCTTTTATGAGACAGGAGAATAGCTGGTCCCTCTTGGTAGCAGGAAATGTCATGTAGCTTTCCTGTGGAATGCTGATGTGTGCATAGTTAATATTTTGACTACAAGAGTACCTC